CTTCACTGCCGTGGATCAACGCCTCGAGGGCTTCCTAATCACGCAGTCGCCGCGGTTCGACCTAGCTTGCCTTGAAGCGATGGTCGAGCATACAGCCGACACGCTTAGGGAATTGCGCCTCTCAGAGATCGGACAACTCAAGGACGATTGGTTACCCCACTTAGAGGCCTTCAAGAATCTCACGTCCCTCGACTTGTCATTCCCCTCCGAGTCTCTCACAGATGAGCCAGTGGTCACGCTCCTCTCCACTGTCGGGCAAAGGTTGACGCTACTCAATATCAGCGGACACACTGCCCTCACAGACAAAGTTCTCACAGAGGGCATCGCTCCTCATACGGGATCCCTGAATACCTTGATCATGGCATCCCTCGAGTTGCTCACCGATGAAGGAGTTGCAGCGTCCTTCAGTGCGTTCAACAACAATCGTTCAATGCGACGCGTCGATTTCAGCCGAAACCATTCACTCTCCGGCGCCGCACTATCCGCGTTACTCGCCCACTTTGGAGCCGTTTTGGAGGACCTGAACATCAATAGTTGGAAGGAGACACCTAATGAAACCTTGATGGGGATGGCACAATACCTCCCTCAACTGGTCAACCTCGACATGAGTTGGTGCAGAGAGGTAGATGACTACGTCATCAAAAGTGTCTTAGACGGCTGCCCAATGCTAAAGTCTGTCAAGTGCCATGGGTGCAATCGGGTGACGGTCAACTGTCCTCGAAAGGTAAGCGAAGAACCGTTGGGTGATGGAAGGCGTGACTGACCGTTGATTGCCTTGTAGCGCGGCGTAGCAATATTTGGGAACGAAGCTCACACTGTTTTGTAGATGTTACACATGGTCACTTACTGTATGCCGCCTTGGAATACACGCATTATTATTTCCAGCATCTTCCAGGGTGCTTATTAGTCCTCCCGCGCGTCACTCGCGTTTGGCGCCCGCTCCCTTTCAATCTTGACCACCACCAAGTATGGCCACTTGCTCTCACTTAGATCGCCTCTCATCACTACAGACACCCAAACTCTCCCAATCAGTTCATCGAGAGGAATGTACGCAGTGCTTTGATAACCAGGTTGGTCCAACAAGCTGTAGTCAGCAGTGGTGCAAGCCGCAGGCTCATCGCGTCTGGTTGCCCGTAGGACCTGCCATCTGGCGTTGACGTCTGCCTGACCTGCTTCAATGGCGGCTGTACCAGTGATGATCGACACCACGCACGGACACACTACGAAAGATCGAACCATCCCTTCGTCTTGAACGTGAAGCGCAAGGCAAAGCCTCGACCACAAAGGGTTAGCTGACTCGACGTACCCTTCGCTCATATGTGAAGTCCTGACGCGTCCATTTCCTACATAGGATGATAATGAACCCCCAATGAAGAAGTTGGCAATCCAGGAAGAACGCGAAGAGGACAAATACACGCATGAAACTACCTTGAAGTGCTGGGCCTGCGGCGGTGTCGAACTTCCCGACCTGGCAAACGAGCCCAAAGTGGGTTTGCTTGCTCCCATTTCTACCGTAGTGCCATTTATAATGCTGTTCGTTGTAGGTTCGTGCTCTGGTAGACGGTGTCATGCAATCCATGTCTTCCGCCCGCCAGTCCGAAGTCAAGGCCTGGGAGGAGGATATCACCGCATGCGAGCACACTCTTATGCTTGAACAAATTTCTTCGCATCAGACCGCTGCATCAGGTACGCGGAGCTAGTTGAACGTTCATAGGAAGCCAACCTACCCTCTCTGGTTTCCATAGGCTTGGCGCAATGCGGAAAATGCGATCTGAAAGAAAATCTCTGGCTATGTCTTACCTGCGGTAATCTTGGATGTGGAAGAGCTCAATTCGGTGGTGTTGGTGGCAATAGCCATGGTCTTGCCCATTTTAACGAGACCCAGCATCCAGCAAGCGTCAAGCTTGGAACGATAACCGCGGAAGGGACAGCAGGTACGCCCCAACCACCGCCTGCATACCCACAAAATTACTTACTTAGTACGCTCATAAGATATCTATTGCTACCAATGCAACGATTCAAGGCTAGATCCAGAGCTTGCGGCTCACCTCGCCAACTTCGGCATAAATGTGTTGACGCAGACAAAGACGGAAAAGAGCATGACCGAACTGGTCCGTAATAAATCTCCCATTATTGACCTGTGCCTAATTGCTGTCTTATAGCAAATCGAACACAACCTTAATTTCGACTTCAGTATGACCGGTGACGATGGAAAATCTTTGGAGCCGGTCTTTGGGGCTGGTCTGACAGGTCTCGCGAACTTGGGTAACAGGTAGCCCTCTTTTATCCTATTTTCTGTGAGTCGAGCTGACGTCCTGTGTCATTCTAGCTGCTATATGGCCTCGGTTATACAGTCGTTGTTCTCCCTTCCTGCGTTCCAGACCCGCTTCTATCCTACCTCTCTCGCCCACGCTGCTACTTGCCCTGAACCGCTCCCGGCTAGCTGCTTAGAGTGTCAAATGGGCAAACTGGCCGATGGTCTGCTTTCTGGTCGATACAGCCATCCTCGAAAAGTTCCCGATCCGAGCGCTGTTGTACATTCCCCATCTCCTGATGCTCCGGATCACACGGCCCCTCAATTCCAAGAAGGGCTCAAGCCGACAATGTTCAAAGCCCTAATCGGGAAGGGACACGAGGAATTCTCCACCATGCGCCAGCAAGACTCTGAGGAGTTCCTGGCGCA